GATGATGGTGGTGGTGGTGATGGTGACTGCGGTGGTGATGAGCAATATCAGGTGCAGGATAGCGAGGATGAGTGATGAGTATCAGGCCGGCCCAGATCGTTGCTCTGAACGTCCCATGGACCGCCCTTGTCTATCGCTCCCTCCTCTGTAGCAGGTCGAGAGGCAGCTTGTCCGACCCGCCTTTCTCCCAGAACTGCGAGGAAACTGGGCAATGAGGAGGATTCGGATGAGACGGCGAAATGGAAGAGAAGGCAGACAGAGGAGGAAGAGGAGGAGGAGGAGGAGGAGGAGGAGGAGGAGGAGGAGGAGGAGGAGGAGGAGGAGGAGGAGGCGGAGGCGGAGGCGGAGGCGGAGGCGGAGGAGGAGGAGGAGGAGGAGGAGGAGGAGGAGGAGGAGGAGGAGGAGGAAGAGGAAGAGGAAGAGGAAGAGGAAGAGGAAGAGGAAGAGGAAGAAGAAGAAGAATAATAAGAAGAAGAAGAAAAAGGAGAAGGAGAAGGAGAAGGAGAAGGAGAAGGAGAAGGAGAAGGAGAAGGAGAAGGAGAAGGAGAAGGAGAAGAAGAATAAGAAGGATAATAATCATAATAAGACGAAGAAGACGAAGAATACGAAGAATAATAAGGAGAAGGAGAAGGAGAATAATAATAAGAATAGTAAGAAGAAGAATAATAATAATAATCAGAATAATAATACTAAGAATAAGAATAATAATACGAAGAAGACGAAGAAGAAGACGAATAATAATAATAATAAGAATAAGAATACTAAGAATAATAATACGAATACGAACAAGAATAATAAGAATAATAATACGAATAATAAGAATAATAAGAAGAATAATAAGAAGAAGAAGACGAATCAGAAGCCGAATAAGAATAATAATAAGAATAGTAAGAAGAAGACTAATAAGCATATTAAGAATAAGAATACGAATAATTAGAATACTAAGAAGAATATAATAAGACTACGAAGAATAATAATAATAATAAGAAACATACGAAGAATAAGAAGCATAATAAGAAGAAGAAGACGAACACTAATAATAATAAGAAGACTAAGAAAAATAAGAATACGAATAATAATAATAATAATAATAAGAAGAATAAGAAGAAGAACAATAATACTAATAATAAGAATAAGAATAATAATAATAATAATAATAATAAGAAGACAAATAATAATAATACTCATAAGAAGAAGAAGATGAGGCGGTGGAGGAGGAGAAGGAGGAGGAGGAGGAGGAGGAGGAGAGGGATGGATGCGGAAGGATAATGGATGAGATGAGGAGGAGGAGGAGGAGGGGAGGGAGGAGGAGGAGGAGGGAGGATGAGGCGGAGGAGGAGAAGGGAGGAGGAGGCGGGGGGAGACGATGCGTGATGGAGGACGAGGAGGAGGAGGAGGGGTAGGAGGAGTGCTCAGCGTGAAGCCGACCACTTTGCTCACCACTAGTGTCCCAGGCTTGTGTGAGGTCGTGGGCAGGGTCGCCTCCTCCTCCTCCTGCTCCTCCTCCTCTCCTCCTCCTCCCTCCTCCTCCTCCTCCTCCTCCTCCTCCTCCTCCTCCTCCTCCTCCTCCTCACCATTAATGTCCCAGGCTTGTGTGAGGTCGTGGGCAGGGTCCCGTGTTTAGGCAGATGTGACTCGTTTTTGTCCACATGGCCCTAAAGGGGCCCGATAACAAGTGGCGGTTTCGGACTGCCGTGGCCGAACAGTACCCTCCTGGGATGTGCCGACTTGGCGGAGAGCGTTTTGGCCGACGTACCTCCCTTGCCCTTCAAGCGCCCCGAGATTTTTGACAGGCTACTGCCTGAGTTGGCCAAGTTCAACGTGCCCCTCGCCCCGTGCCTGGGCAGGCATCGGTGGGGGGGAGTTCGCGCAGGATCGGGCCGATAGGCCCCAGGTGCGCTAATCTTCTGTGCGTTCTTCCTTCTTTCTTAGCCTGATCGTGCACCGCGGCACCTCGTCACATTGTGAGATCGATCAGAGATAGGGTGCTGGGCCCACCCGCGGGAGGGGCGGGTGCCCGGGAGAGGGGGGTACAACTCCATCTGGGTGGGCGAGCTCCGCCTCCGCCCTTCGGCCGTCAGTGCGCTACCCTGGTGACGAGGGGAGGAGGAGGAGGAGGAGGAGGAGGAGGAGGAGGAGGAGGACCAGTCTAGATCCAAGACTCATCACCGATGTTGGAATTTACCCTACCTCCAAGCTCCCTCATCGTAGGCCCCTGCAATATATTTCCACTGAGGAAATTGCCCCGTAGGAGTGCGACCGTTTGAAGACCCTGAAGCGTGCCGAAACATTCTTTTCAGGATTTCAACACCACGAGTTTACCTGACTGGTACGTTTTGTCGATTCTGAATCGTACCAGAACATCATTCCTGGGACTTCAACACCGCGAATCAGCGTAACTGTTGCGCCCTGACAACCATGAATCGCTCCGGAACATCATTTCTGGTACGGTAACCATGAGAATCAAAGAAACTCTTGCGAACTTTAGATAGGATTTGCG